GGAAAATTGATTTTTCTCTCTCTCGTCTTTTTTTTTTTTCCTGGGGAGGTGCTGGGCAGGTTTTTAACCTAACACTCTAACCTGAGTGTTAATGCACAAAGAGACATCATGTCCATTGATCCACTGGTGCCGCCAGAGCGTCTTTAAATGTCTGAGGGGGGAAACAACACAGGGGGTTTTATGCTAAACTGGTGGGATCATAGCCTTCATGTGGAAGCCTAGTGGAAAATTATTTACAATTTACAATACATTTATTACTGTTTGCTACCCTAGTCATCATTATCATTTGATAGAAGAAAAATAGTCAATACGATGTAGTAGTTTTAATTGCACTACTTCTAGTTTGGGCGGTAAACTTCACAAAAACAGTTGCTCTTAGATGTAGAGCTTCATACAACAAGAAAACTAATTTAGATTCAGCAAAAAGTTTGACAAAATATACAGTACCTGCAACAGTGGGTAGGAGTAAGACAAAGAAAGTACTTCAACCCTCCGGTGTAGCACATCCTGTCTGCTAATTATTGTTAAAAAAATAAAATAAAATAATACGGATTAATAATACATTAAAGACAACCAGAAGAAGAAGAAAAAATCCCAGCCATAAAACATATGTATTTTTAATATGAATCTCACTGAATCAATACCCTCAATTAGCAACAGCAAGCAAATTGCCAGGCGAGGCGTAATTACTCGAAGGTCAGTAGGTATTATTCACAGTCACTTTAGTTTACCACATTAGAACAAGACAGGACGTCGGGCTAAAATTATAAATTCCATTCCCATATCTGTCCCTTTCTGATTTAGATGGATGAAGAATAATTAACTCCTAATTATTCAGATCACTTAAGGCACTTTCTGGATCCACAAAAGAGATGCAGTCGTGTCTGTCAGCCCACTTCAGCTGCTATCATTTGGAACGATCCAACAACTTGACCAATGACAACGTGAAATTTTTTTTAAAAAAACGCTCCGGCTGCCTGTCTGTGTCCCCCCTGAACCCCCTCCAGCTCCAACCGTTTCTACCTCAGAGGGTCTTAAGGAGGCACACTTCCTTTAAATTCACCCATATGCAAATTTTAAGATGTGATTTGCATTTTAAAGTATTTAACTCCCCATATTTATTGGGCTCTGAGGCCTTGCTGATCATTGATTTATGTGCTTCCGGCAATCATATTTCCATATTTTGTGTGGTTTTTAACGACAGTAATAATTCAAATATGCAAAAAGTTGTTCTTTGAACGATATCTTTAATTATATCCTCAAAGCATCATTCCTTTTCGCTTCTTTTTTTTTTTTCCAGAGCCGAGATTGTCTTTGAATAAAAAAGGCTGAAGAATCATAAATTAGATTGTGCGATGAGACATTGACGGCCAAAACTCCGGTCGGCTACCTTATGCACAGGGAGACGTCTTAGCATGTTTTGCCTATCTCAAAAGCCACAAACAGACTCGGGGTGCTCTGCTGTACAGGGACCCGTGTGACCTTGTCCCCAAAGCCCTTTATTAATGCTGACATTCTTTCACCACAAATCCAGTCTCAGATTGTGAAATTCGTCTCTTATACTCAACCAAAAACAACAACAAAAAAAAAAAAACCAAGCAGACCTTCCCCCTGTATTGCCGCTAACACAGAAAGTTTCTCTGTCACCTCTCCTTATTAGAATTGTCAGAGTCGCCGCGTGCTCTTATGAAAGCCGTCACCCTCCACATGATTAAAAGTGGCGGGTTCCCACCACCGTTTGGCCTATCACCATCACATAGCAGCCGTCAAATATGTCTGCAGTACTCCTTCCCATATTCCTTTTGTCACCTCGGCATGGCATGGAAACTTTTTAGAATAATTGCTCACCCATACACGAGCATGGGTGACTAATATATTAGATTAGTGGTGTTTGGTCGCAAAGGGGAAAAGGGGGTGTTTCATTATCTTGTTCACTTGGTAGGCTGCATACTGTGAGAGTCAATATGAAAATAGAGAAGAGATTAATTTAGTAAGAGAGCCTGCACAGTAGACCTCTGACCATAATGAGCTGCACAACAGCCTACTACACTGGAAATTACAGTATCGTCACGCTGCGTGTCAGAATTCAATAATCAGTATCTGCAGAATTGGAAAAAAGCATTTCAGTTGATATTACTATAATGATAAAAAGCCATAAATGTATTTAAAAATAAATATCAAATACATAAACAATGGAACTGTATATTTTTCTTTTGCATATTGTTTTCGTAACCACACATCACCTCATCATTTCTGACCACAAACTGCATCAAAAACCACTTGCACATTCTATCTTTTTTTCTCTCCCTGTCTCTCTCTCTTTCTCTCTCTCTCTCATGCACACACACACAAACAAAAAAACAACACACACATTTTTCAAACGAGAACGCAAAATAATCCAACATACTGTCTCCTGTTAATTTGAATGGCCAATTACGACAGTAAACATTAACATGGTAAACAAAAATAATAATTTCCTAAATTGTACTTAAAAAACCCAAGTGGTAAATTAATTAAAAAATATTATTTGTATATTATAGCAGCATCATAATTATTAGTCACAGTAATTACTGTTGTCACTGTAATAATTTTTCAATTTTCTTGATAATTTGTATCACCAGAATACACTCAGTGTGGGCGATGGTTTTACGGCGCCGTAGTTTTAAATGCAGGGATGTAGAGAGGCTGAGTTCAGTACAAGCCAAACACATTAACACAGGGGCCCTTGGAGGATGCATTTCACCCCAATGTTTCACTATCACTGCTGAGTCTTGCACTGAGTGCACGTAACATATGTTACAACCCCCCTACCCCCCCACCCCCTGAGACTCCTGGCACACGACCCTCCACTCCGCAAATAAGCTTTGAGCCTCGCTTCAGATTTCTGCACAGTGGCTTTAAAACTGATCACTGCGGATCAGTGTTATTACGTTAAATTGATTTAATATGATGTTTACATTTGTGACATATACACAGACATACCCTCAAACACGCACACACACACACCAAACAAGTAGCACCCCCACTCCAGAACATATTCCTGCTTTTATCTCACAGTCAGTCTAAAAGAGATTACGGAGGGTGAATGTTAAAAACTAAATTGATTATGTGACATCTGAATATGTATTTAATATAAACATGGAACTGCACATTCACATTCACACACACACACACGCTACCATACAGCCCAGTTCGCCAACACACACTTGCGAGCAGCACCAAAACAGCAGTCGAACACGGTCAATGAGGAGGTTGAAAGCTGATCAATTTACAAAGCAAATAAAAAAGCCTAATGATAAAATCCCTGTGATGCATCGCAAAAGCGTATAAACTCTTCTAACATCCGTTCTAAGTCGCACTTGTGAAAGAAAGGTTTTTGTTTTGTAGTTAAATCAGGATAAAGCAAATCAATTAGGCTGTGCTGAAAATCCCTCATCTAGTGTAGCAGAGCTGTGAAACAGAGTGTAAAACTATTCTCTCTCCTACTCCAGAAAGGTTATCGCATTGTATCTTATTGCCTTTACCTGCTCCTATTCACTGTGAACATGCACTGATTTGAATAAGCACCGCTCCAGAGGCTCTCTTATCAGATCCCAGACGGGTGTGCCAACACAGCAGTATCAGGTACACACCATCTCTCTCTGCCGCCCCCAAAAAAAGAAAAAAAAAAAAGGTTAGAAGAAAAGAAAGAGAAAGAAAGAAAAAGAAGAGAGTTGCTGTTGCATCTGGGATTTGTTGCCTGATAACATGATCTGGCTATAATCACATCCAGGCTGGAAATGCAAAAGTGACCAAAAGAGGAAAGCAGTTAATCCTTCTCTGGGAATGATTTCTTTTTTCATTTTCTGTTTTACGCTTCCTTTTATTTTTTTTTTACTCTTTTTCTCATCCAGAATATATTTTCTACAACTGCTGACCTACAGACTCATCAATTTATTTCACGCAGAAAATGCAGGATATAATGTACTGAATTTTTAAGTGGGATATTATTAAAAAAATCATTAAGTGGTGTGATAAAAACAAATTGTAGATCCACTAATGTGCAACAATTACCCACCGAAGGCATGATATTTTAAAGGTTTCATTTCATTAATAGCTTGCATTGGGACTTTCTTTCTCACTATACACAGCCACAGGAATACAATTCCCTAAAGATGCGCTGGTTTCCAGTTTCATGTCGTTGTTTGCTTTTGCTCCATGAGGGGAAAACACCAGCTTGGGAAGGCATCAGTCAGTGAGGTTAGCGAGCATGGTAGCAACATGACCTCAGAAAATGTATCCTCCTCGGGTAGGTTAAACACACACAAACACACTCGCACACAAACAAACACGAGCTGAGACCATGCTCATTTCCCCAGTCCTCTTAACAGGCTAACCTGCTCTCTTCATTAGGGTGCTGTGGGGACTTATCACTGTGTAGTCTTTGTCCTTGCTGTAATTGCCCTCTCGGCATGTCAGCCCCCACCCACCCGCCACCCACCACCATCATAGCAGCCCAACACCCAGCCAGCCAGCCCAGCGTCAGCCCCCCTCGTGACAGGCCTGGTTAGACGGCGGTGCGGGGAGCCTCTCCTGAGACCTGCTGATCGGCCCCTGAGGTCCACCGGTATAGAGAGGCTTGTCCTAGTTAAAGCAGCACCGGCAGGGACACCCCTCTGAACGCTACGTCTGCCCTGCCACAAGCCCAGCCTCCAACTCCGCTCATTTACAACTACACTAACACCCACTGTGGTAGTCTACCGTCTCACCAAAGATACGGGGGAATTATTCTGTTCCCAAAATTTTCTACTTTTGAAAAGTACGACTTTGGCGAACGCCGGACACAAAAGTACATTTAAATGAGCCATCTCTCTTTGTAGGCATCTACACATTTAATTAATTGAACAATTTGCTTGTAATCTAAAATAAACCAGCAACAAAGTTTCACCACATTATCTGTCTTCCACCAGTTCTGACATCGCCACTAACCTATACAATTATACCCAATGCATGTTGTGGTTGTGTTTTATTTAAAAATGACAAATCTGAATTGAGATAAATGTTAAGAGAGTCAAAGGATTTGAACAAACCTTTTAAACAGAATGAATAGAATCTTAATTGCATTTCATTCATGCAAGAGATCCACATGTACCACACACCAGGCACTCACAT